TCCTGAAGGATGATGGGGCAGAGCTAGCTACCTGTCCTTCAAAATCCATTCTACCTTTTTTTATGGTAACAGACCCCCTAAATCTTAGCTAGATTATATCCTGCAACCCACCTCATAACAAGATGTAGCCATGTGATTAAATTCTGGCTAATGGGTTATAACCGGAAGTAGCATGAGAAACTTCCAGGAAGTCTCCTTAAGGGGAGCTGGGGGGATGGGCATGCCCTTCTCCTCCATCCTCTTTCTTGTTGGAAGGTTGAAGGAGCAGCAGCAGACTTGAACCATGAAGTGAACTTGGGGATAGAAGCACACTAAGAGAAGCAAACAGGAGGGACTATGGGTCCCTGAGACTATGGAGTACGCTATCAGCCCTGGACTGACTCCCTCAGATAAACTTTATTGACGTTGTACTTCCTACTGAAGGGTGACTAAACTTCTTTACGATTCTGAAGATTTAATACTGCTACTTGGGAAGTATAGACTATGCACTTCATGCAAAACCTTTTAACCACAGTAGTGATTGACTAAACATCCTCAGGAAGTCATTACAGACCCTTTCGGCTGCCTCTGACTCCCAGTCACAGGAAATGGCTGGTTTTCCTTTCTCTCTGGCTTTCCTTTGGAAGGCGTTCGGAGGCGTTTGGCATGCCGGAAGGGCCACCCACTCTATCAGATGGCACCTGTCAAACCAACAAAGATATAAACCGCCACAATGCAGATCTCTGAGAAATGCCTCCATGGCATATTAGCGGTTTCACAAACACATTTAGAAGCTCAGATAAAGCTTTTGATGTTCCTGATCTTTGCACTTCCAAATGGTGGCTGAACAAACAGAAATCAGTCTTCTTTGTAAGCCTTCAAAGCAGTGAAATTGCCTAAATCAGTGTGTTGATTATTCTCTGACTTTCAAAAGTCAAGGAAGGTTTTCTGTTTGTTTCTCCTTCCTGAAACACTTTCACATCTCTCCTCGGTACTTTTGTTCTAGGAGATTTAAATCCATCAATTATCTGTTTGAAGATTCATAGGTGCAGAGAACAAATAGGTGGTTGCCAAAAGAGAGGGAAGCAGCGGGGGGGTGGGGGGGTGGGGGGGTGGGGTGAAATAGGTTAAGGGGATTTAGAAGTACAAACCTCCAGTTATATAATAGATAGGTCACAGGGATGTAATATACAGTGTATGAGTGTGGTCAGTAATATTGTAACAACTTTGTATGGGGACAGATGGTTACTAGACTTATCACGGTGATCATTTCATAATGTATGCAAATGTCAAATCATTATGCAGTACACCTGAAACTAACATAATACTGTAACAACAAATATATTTCAAAATATATCTCAAAAAATAGTATTTGAGATAAAAAAAAATAAATCCGTCAATTATCTGTTTGATATACAAGTTTGAATTCCCAATACAGCCTTGACCATCTTTTCCAAAAACTGAAACATTTTTTCCAAAACAGTTGTATAAACATTCTATTGGGAAATGGTAAATAGAACTTTACCAGAATGGGGGTAAATGCGTAAGGGCAGGAACTGATTCTTTTATCAACATATTTAAAGCTCATGAAGTCACAAATGTGTCATTACCCCAGAAAATTCTGTGTAGAATCCAGATTTTACAAAATTCTGTGTGCTAAGGTTGTTACGCCACCATTTGTGTGAACTGGGACTTGATCACGGCAGCAAGAGGGATATATGATTTTGTACTTGTTTTTCAAGAATTTTTAACTCAGTAATCAGCATGTAAGGATGATTCTCACTGTAAGGATGACACTGTGGAAGTGACCACATGTGGAGAGGAGCTAAGAGGCTGAGGCTTGGAGTCTTCAATGTCATTATGACCCTCGTTACCAGGATTCTATAGGTTACCGACAGAAATACAGTTAAACTAACTTCGGCATAAAAGGTGGGGAGGGATATTAGATGGAATGGAAAAATACTGAGCTGAGCTCAAGGTCTCAGTATAGTGAGGCTCCAGGAATTGAACCAGAGACTGACTCCAGCTCAGCAATGCTTCCCAGCCTTTTCCACCTGCCAGTATTAGATAAAATGATGATATTTCTATGGCCCATGGGGATAAAATAATGAGGATGCTCCACACAACGGGAAGTGACCTACTCCTTGGCATACTGATCAGCTACCCATACAGCCCTTTTTCTAGTCTCCCAATTCCCAAGTTCTTAGGAAGCAATTATGGCCAACATTTATTGAGTCCTGTATGGCAGGCACTGTTCTAAGCACCGTACATGCCTTTCATTCACTCATTAAATCTTCACACAACCCTGTAAGTTGGGTATTATATTTTCCCACTTCACAGACAAGAAAACCCGGGACTTACAGGCTAAGCCACGTACCCAAGGTCACATGGAAGTCGGTGGAGACAGGGTTTGAATCTACTTTGACTCGAGTTTGCCCTTAACCCTCAGCTACAGCACCTCTATTGGGCACTAAATCCATCTATAAAAGGAAGTGAAATGATTGGCTGTGCTTGAGGCAGGTGCCCATCCCTGCACCAATCAACGATGAGAAGGGGGTGGGATTACACCGGAAGAAGCAACTTGATGCTCCTGCTACACCCATGGAAGAAGGGAGGAAGGGGGGCTTCCCTGGTGGTGCAGTGGTTAGGAATCCACCTGCCAATGTTGGGGGCCCAGGTTTGATCCCTGGTCCAGGAGAATCCCACAGGCCGCAGATCAACTAAGCCCGTGCGCCACAACTGCTGAGCCGGTGCTCTGGAGCCCGCGAGCCACGACTGCTGAGCCCTGGCACCTAGAGCGCGTGCTCTGCAACAAGAGAAGCCACCGTAATGAGAAGCCCGTGCACCTCAAGGAAAAGTAGCCGCCACTCAACGCAACTAGAGAAAGCCCGCGTGCAGCAACGAAGACCCAACACAGTCAAAAATAAATTAATTAATTAAAAAAAAAAAAAAAAAGAAGGGAGGAAGGGGCAAAACTTAGCAAAGGAGCGCTTCACAGACGCTCCTAAGGATCATCTTCCTCCTCTCTCAGGGGCCCAAGACTGACATAGTTATTCGCACATTATCATCAACATGCTTCTCTTGCTTTATTTCATCTTATCCCTCTTCTCCACTCCTGTTCTCCTCCCATCCCCAAAGGCAGCCGTTCAACTCTGTTTGATAGGAATCATTTCATTTATATACATTCTTATATAATGTATATATACTGCTTTTGTGCATGCATCTTTACATATATGACATTGGGCTACAGGTCCCATTCTTTGTCTTCCTTTTGCCATTCCGTCTTGTGTTCATAAGGTACATCCATGTTACCACATTGCCAGACCATTGCTTCCAACCACAAAATATACCCTATGATGTGCCTGCACCCTTTTATAATACTTTTCCCCCAACACATGTCTGGGCTAGTCATGGACTAGGTTCTACAGATCAGTTCATCCAACTTGGGAGCCCCCTCATCTGGAAAGGCCCCTCCCTGCCTGATGGAGAGTCCCTCCTCTGTGCTCCCACAGTCCTCCATGCTTGCCTCCATCAGGACAGAGGCCACAGAGCAGCTCGGTTAAAAGTGCAGGATTGGGACCCGACTGCCTGGACTCAGAATCCTGTCTCTTTCACTTACAGCTAAGTCATACAGCCTCTCGGTGCCTCCACTTCCATGTCTGCAAAATGATAACCACAGCTACTCATGGGACTGCTGTGAAGATTAAATGAGAGAAATCTATGAAAATTGCTATGAAGAGTGCCTGGTACAAATTAAGTGCTATTTGTACTTACTATAATAACATTTGTTGCATGTATTGGAATGGTCTGTTCACTTGTCTGTCGCCACCACCAGATTATGAAATCCTTGAGTCCCAGGACCTTGGCTTTTCCATCTTTGTGTCCCAGAGGCCCACACATTGCATGAATCCAGGGCGTGCTCATTGCATGATACTCTCTCTTACTCACCCTCTGGTTTGGCATAGCTGCAGGATTTGTATCTAGAAACCAACTGGGTTGAGGAGAGGCTAGATAGAACAGACTGGAGATGTGGCTTTAAAAAGGAAAACTTTCCTGGAGCTATAATGCTGTGCAATAGAAAATATAACATCAGATGCCACATACAGCCAGGAAGGTCAGCAGATCACCCAAGACTGGCCCCCAGAGGACATCCTTACCCAGGCAGATGTATGAACTTGCCTCAAGCATGGCCAAGAGCCAGCTCTTGGTCACATGCCAACATTTTCTGCCTTTGTGTGTATTCCCCTCAGTGTGCTCATCTGTAAAATAGGACTAACAGCATTTACTTCATAGGGTTGTCCTGAGCATTATATGAGGGAACCATTACCAACTGCTTACAATAGTGTCTGGCATGGCCTCAACTGGCAATAAACGTTAGCTCTTCTTAGTGTGAGTATCACCAAATCAATTACTCTTACAAATAGAGTTGGGAGATGCCACACTCATTTTCTTTCTTGTTTCAAGATCTTGGAATTTTTGTTCATCTGTATGTTTGTTTTTGTTTCCATTTACTTATTTGGCATTCTGGTGGGAATTATTTCTTAGCAGGTTATCTGTTGGAAGGTTGTAGCCCTTTTTCCCTTAGCCTCAGCCTGAACTCACAGGTGAATGGTATAGCTTCCCTATCTTTGAAAGTTTCTTAAGAACCATATCACTCTCAGGCTGGAAGTTCTCTGAAGTCTCAGCTTCCAGCAACCCCCAGTCAGATCGTCCCAGGAATACAAGAAGACACCATTTGCAATCACACAACACACTTAAATGGGAATGAACTTGATTCTTTCTGTTGTTCAAAAAAAAAAAAAA